GGTCCGTATCAAACATATTTTGCTTTTCGCGATCAAAGCGGCATACCGCAGGAACGTACCGTGCTACAGTTTACATTCAACTGACTGTGTCGTCACCGAGGTTCCCGCATCCCGCAATCCTGCATTGCGGCAGCATGTCGCCGCACATCCCGCAGAAACGTATGGTGTTACATCTGCCATGCCATCTCATGCGATATTGCCATACCGCAAAACAGGACCCGCAGTGCGGGACCTGCAAAAACGGACCGTGTAACGCCGCACTAATACGTACAGAACATAGTGGGAACGAAGGACAAAATAAAATTTTGACCGGCAGTAGGTAAAATAAAACGTTTTGAAGCGAAAATTGGACAAATTGATGGTGTTTGGAAATAGTTTAGAATATCTTAGGATGAAAAAAAGTTATTTACAAAAAGTATAATTTAAATAGGGTTTTCCTAATTTTCTACTGATTTTTTTTGGGGCGGGGGCATTGACCATTTGACCTTATGGTTAAGCCGCCACTAAATATGTTTGAAATTTAATTGATTACTTAAATAAATATTTAGCAAAGTTTCTAATAAATTTTGGATTAAGAATTATACAGTGTGAGTTTTCAATAAGTACAAATATTTTCAGGGCTGGTAGATCTCGATAAAAGAAACATATTTCTTCTTTATCGTTTTTCAAATAAGACCAAAATAACTGAGATATTTGATCTTGAAAATTTCAAACAAATTAGATTTTTCGCTTAAATTTTGAGAACCACCCGATCTTTTCTGGATTTTCTTTCTTGTATATTTAATCTACACCACCTTTGTTGCTATATTATGAAGATATTATGTTTTTCAACTAAAAATTTAAAAAATATCCAAAAATTTTTCAAAAAATTCCAAATTTTATTTTTTTAAAGAAACACTCAAGAAACTTATAGACGTCTTTCTGGGGTCAAAGTATACTACCCTAAAAATATTAGCACTTATTTAAGACTCTGTATATAGTAACCATTTTTTGTCTGCATTTTTTTAAAATGCAGTTAGAACATGTTCATTTCAATTCAAATAACTAAAAATATATATTATAATATGATAGACCCATACATAACTTTTAAGGCAACTGCGCGATATTATTACTTGCAAAGTAAAAATTGCTAACAAAGTGGTACTCATATCTTGTGAAATTATGTTATGTTAGTTCTATTATTAGTTTCATTATTTCAGTTTACTAGACTGTAAAAAAGGTACGAAATCGAAAAGTTTTTTTTGATGCAATACGCATTATACAGGGTGAGTCTTAAATAAGTGCAAATATTTTTTAGGCATATTTCGACCACAGAAACACAATTATGAGGTTATTTTCACGAAAAAAAAATTGGATTATTTTTGGTTATAAAACATAGTAAAATTTAAACAAAAAAATATTTCTTTTGGAAATTTTCAAAGTAAAATAACTTGGTTATTTTGGAATTATTTGAAAAACGGTAAAGGGAAATATGTTTCTTTTATCGATATTTACCAGTCCTGGAAACATTTGCACTTATTTAAGACTCGCCCTGTATAAAACGATTTGACGAAATCAATATATCTGGCAAATTTATGGATATTATAACTGAAAATATTGAAGGAGGGATAATTCGAGGCAACGGTTTCCGAGAAAACGGAGCTGTTTTGCATGTAATTTCCCATGAGAATGTTTAGAGTTTATCCCCGTATCATGGAGCTTAGATAACCTCAAGCGGGAAATCTCCCCGGACCCGCCGAGGTTGTAATCGCGACAGTCGAGTTCCCTTCGTCATTTCCTTTATTACCCACAGCGACTAGCCCAAATACTATTTAATACGGATACGTTCTGATTTTCTATCTAATCCTTTGCATATAATAGCGGTTATTTCTAGGGACAATTTGAGTATTCTGAGAAAGAGACAAAATCGACCCATATGTAAATATATTTTTCTACGAACTGCAAAATATGTCATCATTGTGAAGCTTATTTTGGCTTATTTCCATTATGTAACCGTGATTAATAATTAAGGAATAGAAATAATCGAAATACTCGAGTTAATATAGTCTGTGAAACGAATAACTTTGAATTTGACAGTTCCCGCGAGCTTTTCTAGTGTTAATTTTATTAGGTTAGCAACTTGCGGCCATGCTGATGCAATGCCGTCTCTAATAGAACAGCCCCGGAGCGAGACTTATGATGTCACGCTAGTTAGATACTACGGATGAATTATGATGTAGAATGCATGGCAAACATAATTATTCCTCGTATATGTAATTTTTTGGATTATATTAGACACTATTTTTTCATATGACACAACACTGATGAAGGCTATAAACGTTAGCTATAACGTTTTTTTTAAACCAAAAAAAATAATGAAAAACCAAATGAAAACTTAATCAGCGTTTTTCTCGAACCTAAATCCCAAGAAAATCAAAATTTTAGAATAATTTTACATATAAAATGGTAGCGATCTTTATTTCATAGCCATCGGTGACGCCTTTTTTTCTATGATATTGTATTATTTGCAAATATCATTTTTCGAACATTGATGCTTGCAAAATATACATATAAATTTTGTGAATGCAAATAATAATACATCACTGTTAGTAGATATTGAATGTTTTTTGTTAAATTAGATCGATTTTCAAACCCCAAAATATATTAAATAGTACTGAAGCTGTGGTTGGTTCCTTGTGAAATATCGTTGAAATATTAGTATTTTAATAAAACACGCTTTTAGATGTATCAAAAAAACTTTTAATAAGAGTAACTTTAACTCTACATTTATGTTTCGGCTTGTTAGGCTTTTTTCAAGAGTTTTTTTAAGAACTAATCGTCTAACTACACTGTAACTATATATATATATATATATATATATATATATATATATATATATATATATATATATATATATATATATATATATATATATATATATATATATATATATATATATATATATATATATATATATATTTGCTATGGGGGGGTGGGTTCAGAGAGTTTATAATAGGGTATTTATTTTTTTATTTGAAATTTCTGTAGGTTGGACTAAAAGTTATAATAACTAATAGTAATAATATTTAATAATAAATTAGGTTTTTAAAGTTCCGCAGCAAATTCTGCAAATAAAAATAAATAATTTTTTTCCAAATAATTTCTGAAGTAACGTCAATATTTGGATGAAAATTGGTGTCTGGGAGTTTTTTGACATGAGAAATTTTATTTTGATGTCAATATGACTCCGACTAGTAGAGGGCGCAACCTACATATTTTTTAACTGGTTTAAAGAGTAATAACTTTTCGTCCGTACCTGTATAAAACTGTTAAGTAAAAAGATATACATTTACAACGTTCTGTAATTTTCATTGTTCGTAAAAAATGTGTATTGGTAAAAATCGTTACAAGTAATGGTTCTCGGCATATTTAGAATTGAAATTATCAATATCGTCATGTCAAATTAAACATGTTGACTAAATAATTATGATATTGAATTCATAAATTTGAAATGTTTTTGTGCCAAAAGTTCAAGAAAAACTACCTTATCATCATTTTTTCGAAAAGAAATTTATGATTAATTTAAAAAAATAAAGAGTTCCCAACTTTATCATTTCAGTCAAATCACTATCTACTCAATATGTTTATTTTTTGTCAGTAGTAAGATGTATTGACTATTTCAGTTCTAAATACCTTGAGAACGAATGCTTGTTGCGATTTTTACCAAGAGGCATTTTTTTGTAAAAAATCACGGGAATGTATATTTTTCCACCCAGTAGTTTTATACAGGTACGGACGATAAGTTATTACTTTTCAAAATAGTTAAAATACATGTAGGTGGCGCCCCCTACAAATAAGAGTCATATTGACATCAAAATCAAATTTCTCATATCAAAAAACTCCCAGACACCAATTATCAACTAAACATTGCCGTTACTTCGGAAATTATTTGGAAAAAACCGAAATAAAAAAGAAACTTCTACACCCTGTATCTCCGAAACTAAGCATTTTAGGACATACATTTATACGAACTTTTTTACTTATATTTTTTCTGCAGAATACGCTTTCCGCAATACAGTTCAAACCACTCTGTATATCAAGAGTAATATAATTATTTCTTGCAGGTATACTGCTGACGGTTATCCAGTGCCGCGCCAAACACCAGGAGCTCGTCTACCGCCCGGTACTAGCACGCCACCTCCATCGTTGCCATGTTGTTCGGCAAATTGGCCACCCCGTCTACAGAGCACACAACAAATGGTACCGGGGGTCTCCAAAAAGTGCGCCAGTGCCCAAACGGACACCGAAGACGAGTGCGAAAGTAGTGTGAGTGGTAGTGTTAGTGCTCCCGACAAATGTGAGCCGACAGTGAATAACGTGCCGAATGAAAATGTCAACGAGGTACTAACTGAAAGTCCAGATGAAGGATACGAGGGAGAACCGTCTGCCGTGTAGTGTGAAAATCTCGGAAAGGTGAAGTAAGTGTTTTTGTAAAAACCTACTTGAGAAACGACAAATGTTTTAAGTGTAAGTAGGTAACCAACGTATCATACTAGAGAAAATAGTCTAAGACCTAGCAACGTTTTTGAGAAAGTATTTTAAGAAAGCTGGCTCTGATATATCTTTTACTATGCTCTCTGGAACAGCATGCGGCCCATCTGGCTGCCGATACCCGTTGCGTTCACTACTGCGCATCGGAAGAAGGTCCTATATTTTTTTTATTTAGTCCGTTAAATTCTAGTATTGAATATAAATCGAACAAGTCTCAATAGCGCAGCGCGTACAGTTTCCGACTACGAACCGAGGATTCAGAGTTCGAGACCGTATCAGGGCAAGAACATTTTTTATTTAATTTTCGTTTATATTCTGATAGTAATGTATTAAACATTTGTTTTTTTTTAATCACCAGAATTATTTAATACTTTACTACCAGAATATAAACAAAAATAAAATAAAAAAATGTGTGCCCTGACCCGGAATCGAACTCTGACTCCGCGCTTGAAAGGCGGAACCTCTACGCGCTGAGCTATGGAGACTTCGTCGGTTTATATTCAATACTAGACTCTAAATAATAGGCTAATAAAATATAGGATCTTCTTTCAATGCGCAGTAGGGAACGCAATGTTTACCGGCAGCCAGACGGGCCGCATGCTCTTCCAGAGAGCATAGTAAACGATATATTAAAGAGCCAGCTTTCTTAAAATACTTGTTTTCCAACGTTGCTAGCCCTCGTACTAAAAGGACTGAACTGACTTTGAGATATATAGATTTCTGTTTGTCTTGAAATGATGAAATGAATTTGTCTTGATTCAATTATGGATTGGACTAATAGATGTAAAATAATTTTCCTCTAAGCTACAAAGTTACTTTAATTTTTCCTAGGGCTTATGTCTTAAAGCTTTTGTTTATTTTTTTTTTATCCAACTTATACTGGTTTCAATCTATCCATAAGTTGAATTAATTTATGATGATGAATATAAATATTAATTAACATCAATCATTTTTAATCCTATATATTTAAAATGGCCTATTTGGAATGCCTATAAAAAGACAAAGATAAAAAAATAAACATTTAAGAATATTTTGTTATACCATGCTGGCAACTCTTACTTCTGGGTTGTTGGTATTTACATGTGTGGAAGTCAATCGCTTAGGAATCTTACTAAGACAGAGAGAAATGCGACGGTGTGCTGTCGCGGCGTTGCCACATTTCTCCGGTACGCCTTTCCTTATCAAGTAATGTAAAATTACAATCGCAAACCGTTTATTTTTAAAAGACTTTTTTTCGTAAAGATTACTAGATTTTCATTAGATATGTTTCTGAGCATCTGAAATAGAATTATAAGGATGTCGTTAGGTGTCCATGTTTTATAACGAGAAAACGTCAATAATCGCGATCATTTAAAAACCAACTTTTTAATACATAACGCGCGATAACTCAAGAACTATTTTAGATATTGAAACTTTTATTTTGAAGTTTATTTGGATCTTTTACAAGATGTTTAAACAAGAAAAAATCGATAAGCTTGTTTTTTTTCCATTCAAAAAATTAAAAAAAACATCCATTTACTTTAAGTTCATAGCAATTTTCAACAATCGTATAACTTTTTTATTGATAAAGATTTTTACATACTGTTTGAAAAGAAAATTTAGCAGAAATATTAAGAAAGTTCATGAGACGTAATTAAATCGTGAAGCTAGACGCATAATTTACACCTTTCTCTAAAATTTTAAGTACTGACTGAATCAGTCAAAATTCTAGATTAAGTACTTCCACGTCTCTTAGCAATGTGCACAGATCTCGGTTTATTTCATACGTTTGGCAACGTTTTTACTGTTCTCTCTTTGTTCAGTACATTATAAATGCATTGTACTCTTCTTACACACGGAAATCTCGACCCAAAACTAAACTTTGACAGCCCTTAGTATAAACAAACACCTAATAATATCACTGAGTATCAGTGTTATGGAATTGATTATAGTATTATATTAAGATGTATTTAAAATTATTTTTTATTTTAAAATCTCATTTTAATTTTTTTAATGCATTTAAATTGATGCTGCAAGAAGTCTGTTATTATAAATAATTTTCTATAAGCACTTACATTTATGCATGTATGTAACTGTGTAAAAATACGTGTAAAAACTACTCTAAACTTATCTCATTCTCTCAACAGGGTCAACACTGTATATATTGTTTATAAGCAGCCTCTAACGGCTGATGTGTATTTAAATAATAACGAATTTGTATATAAATATAATAACTG